ACCGTTTCATGCTGTAGCTTTTGAGGCTGTTAAGGCGTATCTTCTAGATCGTGAGATTCATCATGTCGCGCCGGGGCCGCAGACAAGATTCTCGATCCAGAAGCAGGGGACGAGGACAACCCCAACGACATCGGAGCAGGTCCCGGCCTTCCTTTGTCAGGGACCAATCGCAACGTCTCTCTCTTCCGCAATCTTGGCACAGTACCAGTTCGGAGTACGACTCGAATCGTGAATACGGTTTGACTTTGCCTCGCAAGGTTCTTTCCAATCGGTTTACAAGAGATTTGAACATTGATGGCATGGACGTCATGGATGTGAAGTTGTCTCAGGTTACGACAGGAGGCAACACCAACTGGGGATTGCGATCCCTAGCTAACGGCAGACACACTGTCTTTGAATCTTTCAAGTCTCGACAGGAAGCTATTATGGCAGGGACCTTGATGCGAGCCCTGCGTGGGGATTCCGTTGGTACATCAGGTGCAGATCTCAACGCCACCCTTACTCATATGGCGAAGACCAAGTTCCCAGGTCAAGACCCTTACATTTGGGACAACAGATATGTGGCCATGAAGGAACTTGTTGAGCATTTGGCTAAGGTTGTTCAACAGAAAGGACCTGCATCGGCTAATCAATCGATGCTGGATCAGATTCGTCAGTTGCAGCGAGAGAATGCAAGGTTGAAGAGTGGAGGTCCCAGCCGTGAAACCAGACCGAGTGCAAGTGTACGACCGCCCTCGGAGGACATTGCACACGATGAGAAAAAGGACCCAGTTACCCCGAGGCCTACTACCAGATCAGCACCCGCCAAGAACTCAGGTTCGCCAAGGCCAAACCCACCGCAGAGTTACCTAATTCGGTAGTTCGTTGCCTTGAAGATTGTTGGTTACCACGGAATGAAGCAGAAATGGCATATTCGTTGGATCTGGTCCTCTGGTTTTTGGGTCTGGTCCTGTGGTTTTTTGTGTGACGTAGCTCAATGACCCAGCGACATGAGTGATCATGTGAACTGATGACTCTGACTCTTGCTCGAACAAACTGATGCTCAAGATGCCGTAAATGAGTGTAAAACTGATGCTCAAGATGCCGCAATTGTGGCGGTGGGGTGCCACGTGATGCTCAGGATGCTTTAAACTGGGGTTGCCTCGATTTCAGAAGCCGGTATAAAAGGCTGCGGTTTAGGGTTTAGGGTCGGGGTTTAAGTCTCAGAGTAAAACAAACAACCCCCAAGTTGGACATAACCACCCTAAACCCTAAACCCCAAAACCCTAAGAACAGCGAGCATCTCGGACACGGCGCACGTTTGCAACCAGGGGGCTTTAGGGCTTTGGGGATTCGGATTTAAATTTAGTTTGGAGTTCAGTTTGAAATTCAAAGTATCGTACGAGCTGCTTGTGTTCTGAGGTACGGTAGTAATGATAGTAGGCTGTAGGAATTCAACTTATAGGAGTTGGGGCTCGGCTCTCGGATTAAACGACACGTTTTGGTGGCCTTGAAATTATAAGCCCATCGCCCAGCCTACTACCACAAGCATCTGCAGCAGCAGCAGCTTCAGCATCGGCGAGTTCACTCCCTTTTCCAGGACCGCCGATGCGAGGGTCTCAAGATCATGTCTGTGCTGTCGCGACGGTAGCAAAATCACGACTTTGAGGTGTGGGGGCCGCAAGCATTCCTTTAAGTGCTAGGTGGCCGGATTGAAGCTGAAGTTAGCATCATATAAGAGCCATAAAGAGTCCCAAGCCGACCCTTAGAGCGCCTTAAGGTTCTTTAAGTTTAAGTCTAGAAGGACCCCTTTAGCCGTGAACCCGTCGCGAAGCGAGCACCACAAAACCCTTACAGCAAGCGCAGCACTTGCTGCTTTTGCAGCTCAACCACATTCTTCATGAAATAAAGTGGCTTCTTGGGCGAGATCTCCTGGGGCAGCAGGATGTGGGTTTGGGCTTTGCAGTGGCCTGGGTAGTTTTAGGGTTTCGTTTATGCAGGGTTTGGGGATAACATGGTTGCTATTATTTCTCACACGTGTCAGCATGTGTCCTGCTCATCAGCATTAAAGCAAACTCTCCACACCATCCGGAGTGTCTCGCTGCTGGTCAAAGTCCGGTTGTCGAAAAACGAAGCCGCATTCGTGAACTTGATGTTCTGCCCATTGTTCTTCGTGAACTTGAAGACCAAAGGCGGTGCATCGCTCGAGGGCTCGATGACAAAGGCCTTGTCGTCGTCGCCTCCTTGCATCGGAGCAGATGTTATCACAGTTCGTTTAGGGTTGAGGGTTTTAGGGTTTAGGGTTTAGGACGGCCCCGAGCTATTGACCATCCATGGAGTCCTTCATCACATCTCTCCATCTCATGCGAGTTCAACGTCAGATCGACGACTCCATTCGTCTCCATTTCCTCGATCAGAAGCCTGGTGACATCGAACCCCCTATGCAGCCCAGCACCAACAACATAAATACTATGTTTAATATTATGTAGTTCAACCTCATGTTCCTAAACCCGAGCCAGGAAACTTCATCGTCGAAATATCAGCATCTTTCAATCGACGGCCCTCGCAAGTCTCAAACACCACAGGATCGGAGTCGCTGGTCCACGAGCACACGAGGTTCGTGGAGTCCTTCATCGGCCCTGCCAGCATGACTGTCTTTGGTTTAGTGTGTAGGGTTTAGTTGAGAGTTTGGGGGGGGGGGTTGAGGGTCCACGGTTTCGGCGGTGTAGGATATAGTTTAGGGTCTAGGGTTTTAGGGTGTAAGGTTTGGGGTCCACGGCGTCACGGTTTCGGTGCTGTAGGGTTTTAAGTGTAGGTTTTTGTACGGTTTCGGCGGTGTTTAGGGTGTAGGGTTTAGGGTCCAGGGTTTCGGTGGTGTAGGGTTGTAGGTTTAGGTTTTGTTGGGTTC